CATTTTCTTGGTCTACCAATTCAGTAGCCTTATAAAAAGAAATTACATTATTCTGTTATGATGACTGAGCCATATTCATTTTTAGTGATAACTACTTCTTTTGTGGGATGTTCCCTAATAATTCCTTTGATAATATGTTCTCTAATTTTTCCAGGAATTGAAGTCAAGATCACTGGTGTAGGAATTTGGAGACTATAGTCTTCCTATTTTGTGGAGAAATAGAGAAATCTATTCTTTTTCTGTTCTGTGACACATCTTCCATTCTTCCTGATGTTTTGAAGATAATCGACAATTGCTCAGTGATGAACTCTGTCAGGACTTTCAGTATAATGGGATGTAGTATAATTGGGATTGGTGATTTTAACTTATCAAGGGCAGCTTGGTGATTTCTTATTCACATAGAGTATCAAGGAATCATTCCCTTATTTGAATTTCTATAACACTATTTTTAATCTCTCCATGGCTCATGCCCCATATTATCAAATATCATTTCCCACTGATTCTTGTATATTATCTCCCCATAGAATTCTGTCAGTTCCAGGATGTCAGTGTAATTCTTCTTAGCATTGATCTTTATGGATAGTAGGTACTCAAAACATTTTCGAACAAATTAATAATTTAAATATGCCTATGTGAATTACTCCTAACTCTGAATTCTAAGGCACACATTTCCTACTGCTTGCTGAACACTTCTACTTGTATATCCTATTCGCAAATTAGACTCAATGTATGCAACCCATCCCTTCTCCAAATTACCTATTTTGTTTTAGGTCACCATAATCCTCCCAGTCACCTAGGCTAATGGGAGTCATCCTTTCTCCATCTACAGGCCTAAATAGTGGCCAACCCTAGTTGTTTCTACCTCCATAGCATCTCTTGAGTTTACTTCTTCACTAGTTTAGGCCCACATTACATCCCACCTGGACTATGGTATTAGCCTCCTAATTTGTCTCCTTGCCTCATTTCCCTCTGCTCTCATCCATTCCTCACATAGCTGCCAATGCAATAATATTAAGACAGACATCTGCACATGCCATTTTCTTGTTTAAAGAATTTACATGGCTACCTATTTCCTCTTGGATAAAATACAAACTCCTTACCCTGGCATTTAAGGTCTTCCACATTATGGCTCCCACATACTCTTTCCAACCTGATTCCACATTACTCCTCTTCACACATTTTAAATTCTAGTCACTGGACTATAAATTTTCCATTTCCCACCTCCAGGCATTTGTACAAGCCTAGAATATATTTTTCTTCAGCTCAACCTTTCAGAATGTTTATTTCATGTTAGATGACGTGTCCTGCACAAATCCTTTTCTGATTGATTTATTCAGTGTTCTTTTCCTTTATGAAAATTCCCGTTTTATTCCATTTGATCTTGACCTGTTCTTCCTGTCACTGCCGTGCATTTTATTTACTTGTATTCCCCCAGTAGGATAGAATCTCTTTGAATATAGGAACCATTTATCTTCTTTGTCTTTATATCTCCAGCACCTAGCAGGATGTCTGACTGATGCTTAATAACTTTTGTTCAATTGAGTTAAATTAATAAATGCATTGACAAATGAATTAGGCTCAGCCCTAAGAGTATGGCTTGACAATAATGGTTATTCCAGAATTAACAGTGGGGAAGACCAAAAGAGTGTAGTCTACTCAGTACCCTTAAATTTGTTCATTTGTTTTAGCAAGAATCAATATACAACCAGGGCCCATTGAAAAGTTGACATCATTCAAGCTTACCTTAAGTAGAATAAAAGGATACTAGATAGTAGGAGGTCTAGACTGAACCCTCCTTAAGGGTAAGAATAATGCCTTTTGAGATTGTGGGGAGTAGGTAATAGTTTCGTAAAGCCATCCCAAATTGATTTAATCATTGATGTGAACAACATGACTTTTTTGGTCAGGTGTCCCCAAGAGAGTAAGTAGTTTGACATGTTCTCCCCAGCAGATTTTTATTTTTGTGTCTGTAACTTTGCTCCTAGAATAAAAATTGCAGATTCTTCCTTAAAGGTGGGAGTATTCTATTTCAGAATATCAGTAGTACAACTGAAATGAATCAATTCATCAGATGGGATGGCCAGCAGAATAATCTTTTACTGGGGTTTTAGTATTCATTTTTTATTTATTATTACTGTTTGGAACTTTTTCATCCTTTCTTGCTTTTTAAGCTCTTGCATGCATTCCTCTGTTTAGTTTTTGGGCAACAACCCTTGGTGCCTCACTCAGATTTGTTTTTGGCTTGAGAAGACTGGATTTTTTTAAAAACTTTGTTTTTATTATAACTTTAAAATTTTTCTGAGCTATGAATGTGCCTTTCCTGTCTTATCCCTCCTTCTGCGCATATATGTTTTTGAATGTGCTATAGGATGTTCATGGTTGACTGTGTGTTCCTTCAGTGAAGAACTCACTACTTTTTAACAGTTAAGATTTTATAACTGTAAGCATACACAGAGAAGAGAGGTAGAGAGAGACTGTGGGGGAGATTAATGTTGATATCATTAACCTGCAAAAGCAGATGGAAACTGATTTTTATTGATTATGTTATGAGATAAAGAATGGGTTTTTAAAAATATGTGTGAACACACTTATATGTATGAATGTGTGTAAACATATGTGCATACATTTATATACATAAAGATAGATCTATATGTATCTATATGGAGGGAGTGAGGAAGGGAAGGAGGGGGAGAGACAGATAGACAGATATGCAAACACACACACAGATGAGATGACATGAGATGACATGAGATGACATGACATGGGATGGGATGGGATGGGATGAGATGGGATGGGATGGGATGGGATGGGATGGGATGGGATGAGATGGATGGGATGGATGGGATGGGATGGGATGGGATGGGAGATGAGATGAGATGGATGGGATGGGATGGGATGGATGAGATGGGATGGGATGGGATGGGATGGGATGAGATAGTAAGCGTGTGTAGGGGATCCTGTTGTACCAAGTGGTTGTTCATTTACTTTCAACTCCCATGCCTTTTTGTTGTTAGTAGTTGCAGCTACAGAAACCTTTACCAGTCATTTACTCTGGTACTTAGGTCAGCTCATTGGAAGAAGGAATAATCTTGGATGGTTGAAAACATACATCATTCTGACTTTTCTGCTTCTTGCTTTCCATGAATCTAAGGCTTCTCTATGACATTGTTACTTTTTACATCACTCTCTTTTTATACTATCCCTTTACTTGCCTCTGAAATATTCTATTTCTAGTATTTTTCTTTTCTGCTATGTTATCTGGTGATTACAAATCACATGCCTCTTTCCTGTACAAATGGCAGAGATTATTACAGGGATTTTAGAGTTTGATTGGAAACAATCAAGGTTGAATTGTCCAGAGGGCAAGCTGTTTGATGACCGGCAAGGGAGAGGAGGAAGTTTGGTGCTGGATTTTGTAGTCAGAGGAGTTGGGTTTACATCTCAGCTCCATTATTTACAAGTTGTATGACCTTGGGTAAATAACTTGGCATTTCTGGGCCTCAACTTCTGAGCAGTTGAACTTGATGACCTTTTCAGGTATAAATCAGTGATCCTGCAGTCTGTATGCTCCTTGCCTCTCTCTCTCCTGAGGAATGGGTAGGCTTTCTTTAAAGATGAAGAACCACTTGGCTTCCAGGTTCACCCTGCTTCCTAATGACAGAAACAAGAGACAGAGAGACAAGCAAACATAGAATGACACATGGAACTAAAAATAAAACTTGGGAAATGAAACTTGAAGAGACTCAACTGGTCCCTGAATTTCTCTCCTAAGACACATTTTGAGATGGTTATTTGAAGTGCTGAAAGTCTAATTATTTGTGGAATGTGATAATGATGATGACTGTGGTCGTGGGAGCGGAAAAAGGCACTAATAAACACTCATGGCATTGACTGAAATCCTTCTGCTTTCAAGAAATTTCAACATTCCATTTAGAAGATGATGATTTTTCAAAATTGAGAATTGAGATGATAAATTTATTTGTTGTTTAGTCACTTTAGTTATATCTGACTCTTGGTGACCTTATTTAGGGTTTTCTTGGAAAAGATGCTGTTGTGGCTTGCCATCTCCTTCTCCAACTCATTTTACAGATGAGGAAACTGAAGTAAACAGAGTCAAGTGACTTACCCAGGGTCACTTCGGCTAATAAGTGTTTGAGGCCAGATTTAAACTCAGAAAGAGAAGTCTTTCTTACTCCAGAACCAGTAATCTATCCACAGTGCCATCTAAGTACTCAATGACAAGGCTGAGACTGTGTGTGTTCTTCCTAGGAGTGGTCAATGTGGTGAATGGAGGAAGGGAGATTTGGATATTGAATGTACCTGAAGGAGCAAATGGATAGGCATTGAGACACTTGGAGAGATCTTTACTCTTCCTTCTTTGTGCTGACACTGGCACCATCATTTATTATTATTTTTAAAATTATAAGTGGTCTTGGGGGCAGGAAGGTGGGTAATAAGTCAAATGATAATAGATTTAGAGCTGTAAGGAACCTTAGGAACCATCAGATCCAATCTTTTCATTTTACAGATGAGGAAATTGAGACACAGAGAGATTAAGTAACTTGTCCAGGGTCACAAAGGAAGGAAAGAAATAAGCATTCATTAAATACTATATTCCAGATATTGAATTAAGCATTTGCAAATATGATCTCATTTTATCCTCAAACAACCCTGGGAGGTAGATATTATTATTATTATTATTCCCATTTTACAGATGAGGAAACTGAGGCAGACAGAGGTTGACTTGTCCAAGGTCACAAGCAAGTGAGTATCTCAGGCCAGATTTGAATTCATGTCTCCTTGACTCTAGGCCCAGCACTCTGTCGACTGCAACACCTAGCCGCCTCCCCACCACTGTCATTAGGAGTCATAAAATGTCTAATTATCTTAGTGGAGGCTAAAATTTAATAGCTGAAATTATCAGGAAGTATTTTGCACTGGGGAAGGAGGGGATTAGTTGCATGTTCTTTCAAGGATGCGTATCATACCTTCTCTTGCAGGTGGTGTGGTCCTCAACCCAACCTATTACGGCATGCCTGGCCATACCAACATCATGATCCACGAAGTAGGACATGTCTTGGGGCTGTACCATGTTTTCAAAGGGGTCAGCGAAAGGGAATCTTGTGATGATCCCTGCAGAGAGACTACGCCAACCATGGACACAGGAGACCTTTGTGCTGACACAGCCCCCACGCCCAAAAGTAAGCTGTGCCAGGACCCAGAACCTACTAATGACACCTGTGGCCAAAACCACTTCTCTGGGACACCATTCAACAACTACATGAGCTATACAGGTAATAGGAAATGACCAGCACATCTCCATCTTTGTTTTGTCTCATGAACATATCCTTCAGAGGGAGGGAAGGAAGATAGGAGGTAGAAATCATTTGGAAGGGGGAAGACAGGGATAGAGGGATTGCTTTCATTTCATGTATCCTTGAAGAACTTGAAACACTACTGGAGAGATGAAAGATTAATTTTGAGGGAGAAATTGGAGCCTCTATCCCTGTGGATCTTTCAAAAGAGAATAGATCCAAGTTTGTTAGGCTAGGACCTCTTGAGGACTCCCCCACATTCTGCAATACAGTGACTACATGGTATTCAATCGGCAATCACTTATTAGCTGCCTACTATGTGCAAAGCACTGGATGGTATTCGTTCTCTTAGCTATCAAGTCTAAAACAAACTCAATGGGATTTAAAAGGGATTGGGATCTCCCTTGTACTTAGTGAATCTCAGTTGCTGTTTGTCCTTTGTGATTCACTAAGGAAGAAATGAAAATTCTATTAAGATCAAGACTTGAATGTCTTTAAATGCATTTTAAAATTTTGTTTTAAACTGCATCAGTGCACTAAATATGTATTTCCCAATAGTAGTTGAAGATTCATTTTTTTCACCCTAAAACTGCCACCAGATCAAGAATACTGGGAAGCCAGTTCAATGAGCACTTATTTAGCCCTTACCGAGTACAAGGTGTTATGCTAAGTGCTATGTATGCAGAGGGAAAAATGCATAATTTGTTGCCTTTGTGGAGGTTATACTCTAACCAAGAGAGCATTAAATGTACACAGATAGATAAATGCAAGGTAATTTGGGGAAGGAGAAAACACTAAAGAATTTGGACATGGGGAAGTATTCTAAGAGAATGTGGCATCTGAAGTTAGTTTAAAGGATTCAGAAAGACAGAAATAGGGAAGGAATCCAGTGGGTTCATTGAAGATAGACTAATTCAAGGTCCATTTGTTTCTTCTAATTGGGATTGTATTTGGGTGCTCCTGACTCTCAGGTCAACAATACTCTTTTGTTTCTCCTCTACCTAACCCCCATCTCCACATTCCAGCTTCAACTCTGCCTTAACAAAACTGTTTTTGATGTTCAGTCACACCTGACCCTTCCTGACCCTGTGAGCCATATTGTCGATGGGGTCTTCTTGGCAAAGATACTGGAGTGGATGAAGGCAAACAGAGGTTAAGTGACTTGCCCAGGCTCACCCAGCTAATAAGTGTCTGAGGCCAAATTTGAGCTCAGGTCTTCCTGACTCCTGGCCTAGTGCTCTATACACTGAGTCACTAAAATAAATAACCAGGAAGATTATACTTGCTCTTAGCATTCCTCAACCAAACACATAGCCTTAGGCGAAGAACAGCCTTGAGGCATTCCTATTGATGACCACAGTCACTCTGACCTTTGGGGTAAAGGTAAATTTGCCAAGAAAGTCTTCTGTAGAAGTAGGTGGAAAGGATAGTTTTTCTGTGAGGTCTAGGGGTACTTTCTTTCCTTCTTTCTTTCCTTCTTTCCTTCTTCTTTCTTTCTTTCTTTCTTTCTTTCTTTCTTTCTTTCTTTCTTTCTTTCTTTCTTTCTTTCTTTCTTTCTTTCTTTCACCTTTTTGATGAGGCAATCAGGGTTAAGTGACTTGCCCAGGGTCACACAGCTAGTAAGTGTCATGTGTCTGAGACTGGATTTGAACTCAGGTCCTCCAGACTCCAAACCTAGAACTTATCCACTGCTCCACCTAGCTGCCCAGCAGGGGTACTTTCTTAAAAACATCAAAACAAAACAAAACAAACCAAGAAACAAAAAAAACAGGAATGCTTCTGCCAGAATTTTTGTTGGGTCTTAATTTTTTTTCCTTTGAAAAATACTTTAACCAGACACTGGTGATGACATTTATAATCAAGCAGTTCTACAGAGATAGCTGATAACCTGGTTACCTCTGTGACCCAGCAATAATTTTACCATATACTTCCATATTGCCAAATCATCCAGGTACACCTAGCTAATCAATCCCACCCCTTCCCACAACCAGCAAGTCTTGGCAGTTGCCAGAAGGAAGACACACCTATGGCTTGCACCTCTAGGGAAAAACCCAGCCAACTGATCTGCAGGTAGGGAAAAGGAAAGAGTTTTGAAGTAAAGGAAATGTTTCCAATGTAGTAACAATTCTCCTTAAGTATAACAGAAGATTCATCAAAAGTAAGCCACTTTCTTCTTCCATCAGTAGCATTGGGACTTATTCCTTGTCTCGGTTCTTGGGACATCTCTCCTCTGACTCTGTCAGAGTCTCCGGATAAGAAAGAGGGTTTCTTCAGCATCACAACTGGTCACACATGGAAAAGCCACGTGCTGAAACACTGCCATCTTGTGGTCTCTTGAACATTTAGCAGTCCAGTCAGACAGATTTCTGAGCCTGCGGGGCATTTGAATTTTATCTTCCTTTAGTGGAATAATTTGGAAATGATTCCCTACTTAACCTTATGTAGCAGTACTTATCTTTCTCAACTTATTTTCTTTGTCTCCCTTTTATATTTCATTCACAGATGATGACTGCACTGATCACTTCACCCCAAACCAAGTGGCCCGAATGCATTGCTATTTGGATCTGGTGTATCAACAATGGAGTGACAGCAAAAGACCCACCCCCATCCCAATTCCACCAGTGGTCATTGGACAGACGCAAAATTCCCTCACCATTCACTGGCTGCCTCCCATTAGTGGAGTTCTGTATGAAAGGTGAGAGCAGTGCTTGTGGGTGGGGTAGAGAGAGCAGTTATAAGGGGTAACAGATGATTTTTTTTTTCTTTTCAGAGAATGGTGGGGAATGAAGGTTTCTTGCATGCCTGCACAGGGAAAGCCCCAAATTGTACCAGTGAAAAATTAATGAGTCACATAGTGAGCTCCAGAATACTCTCTTGACCCTTATTTTTTGCTCCAGTCCCAGATCTGACCTCATTTAGTAAATGACTAGCCAGCTCACTGCATGTGTTCATTTTTCTGGGAGAATGTCTGACAGGCATTTCTTTGGACACCCATATAGAAAATGTCACATCTGGCATGACAGCTGTGGTTGTCCAGCAGTTGAGGAAGGTGTTGAGGATGAACTGGCAGGCTCTGAAGTGTACTTGCCAATTGGCAGGCATTAGCCACTACCTTCTCAGTGAGGGAAGTGGCCAGCTACTACTCTAATGTCAGAGAGAGGAGAAAAATAGGGATCCTTCCTCCTGGCTGTGCTGGTGGGATGTGTGTATGTTTTGCACAAAAAAATTCGAGGCAGTCCCTGACAAATATTAAATTTGAGAGCACAGTATAGGGTTCAGTTCTGTGCAGAACTGGGAAGTAGTGGTTTCCTTTGGTGTCCCCAAGCTTTCTCTTCAGGACTTTGCCCCCTTCGGAGATCTTGGATGTTCCACATTCCCACCAGGCATTTTGCTTGAAATATCCTTTTTACTCTTCTCACTATGATCAAAACCCCACCCTGAGATCATTTATTTGTATTGAGACATTAATGACTGACAGTAATTTAAAGTGTGGCCCCTCCTAGAATTGTTGGCATCTTGGCAGTTATCAAAGTCTTAAGGTAAAACCCAGAAACCTGACTGAGGTTATTTGCCTAGGAGGTTGGGCAAAATTGGTGGTCATGGAATGCTTTTTGGAACTCCCTTGAGCTACTACATCAGTGGTTGACTACTTCCCCTGGGAGGAAAGATTGGCTTTGCTCTACTCCCTACTGAAACCAAGACAAAGCAAGGATATGACGTACCTGAATAACATTCCTTACAGTCAAATGCTACATGAGTTTGAATGGGAGAGGAGACTGAGGGAAAAAGGAGGCAACTGTGATGTTACAGAAAGTCCTAAAGGTACTTTCCTCAAGCCTTCTTGAGGTGACAATCACTTTGATTCCACATTGATAGCTTCTATCTGATGGTATAACTTCATATTTATGCTGATTTTATATTTTAAAGCATTTTTTTTCATATCCCTCTCATTTGATCCCCCCTCAGAATCCTATGAGGTGGTTAGGGAGGCTATTCTTAGTCATTAAAATATGTGTGTGTGTGTGTGTGTGTGTGTGTGTGTGTGTGTGTGTGTGTACTAGACTTGGAGTTAGGAAGATCTGGGCTTAAATTCCTCCTCAGTTACTCACTAGCTATGTGACTCTGTACAAGTCACTTAACTGCCTCAGTTTCCTCATCAATAAAATAGGAATAATGATATTATTTACCTCAGTGTTGTTATAAGAAAAAATAATATTATATATATATATATATATATATATAGGTGTGTATTCACATATAATAAAGTATTTCATATATAAATATACTTTCATTATACTATTATAAATAACTATAAATACTAGAACTGTGTAGTATATATAATTATATGCCACAATCGTATAGGGTATATATAAATATATACCATATTCTATACTATATATATAACTATAAATAGTTATACATATATACTTTATACTAAAAATTATAAATATATTTTCATTACATATAATGATTATATATCATATTTATATAACTATATAAATGATAGCTCTATATAATTATATGCATACTACGCTTAGTATATGTGCTAGAGACACTATATACTATATATAGTATACTATGTATAGTGTATATAGTTATATATATTTATTAAATTTCGTGTATATGCTTTGCAAACTTTAAAGTGTAATATAAATTTCAGTTGTATCGATACCTATGAGCTATTATGTGTCTATTTATATTTTTTGTGTTATGTTAGAAAAATTCATCTGTAGATTAAGGTAAATTAAAATTAATTTTGTTTGTGGAATTTTTTTTGATAATTTTATGATGTTCCTGTAGCAATCCCTGGGGAGAAGCAAAGGGTAATAATTATGAAACTAGAGGGAAGAATCATTGCCTAACATTTTTATGTATTAATATATGTGTATATGTACTCATACTATCTAAACCCAGAGTCACTTAGCGTGTGAACAATGAGCTTGTCATATGCTAGTTGTACATGCATCTCTCTTATGTGATGGGGCGAGGGGGTATCTTTCTGCACCTGTGATTTTGTGTGGCTTGGATTGGGCAAACTGAAGAGCGAGCCCTGTGGGAACACACACAAACCAGAATTTTACGTCTGTTTACATAGCACACATAAACAATTTAATCTTTCTATTCTGTCTCTGGTACAAACCTGACGACAAACCCGACATCAGCACTGCGTTGCCACAAACTGCTGGCTGAGAAGACAGCCATTTGCTTTCTTACGTCACTCTGAGGGGTTGTAGTTTCAAGATCTCCTGATATGTTCATTGGTTATAGACTCACGTCACATCCCCAGGAGTTTACGTGGGGCAGGCTACTGTGTTTACCATCGTGAGTTGGTATTTGGAATTCTCATGTCATAAGGGGGCCCTGTCTACGCATACAAGCAAAAAGAAAGGCCAAATGTATCCAAGAAAACATGATGAGTTCGTGGCCATTGAAAATGAGTATCAATGCCAGGAAAGTGAGGGGCTTATGGAAATCTTCACTAATTACAAAAAGAGCTGAGTACCAGAACTTATTAAACTGTGTATCCCAACATTCCAGCAGAGTGTCAGAAATCTTCCCTAAGAAAGATGCTTCCCCAGAACGCTGGGGAGAAGCGTTCTGATTTAATGCCTGTTTCAATCCCCAACTGCACTGTGTCTGGGGAAGCTGTCCAGGTTTCAGTGAACAGCCCTCAAAACTACTTCTCTGACCTCCAGCTACTGCTAGCTTCCCCTCTCTTGGTGGCCCAGAATATGGACTTGTTAACAGACTATGCTACTTCATTCATTTTATTTGGTCAGTGTCATTAGTAGTTGAGAGTATTTTAATACAGCAGGGGAATTCATTCAATAGATCACTGCTGAGAGGTCAGTGGTAGAAGAAGCTCTGTACTAAAAAATCAAGAGATTGGGTTCATATCCTGGCTCTGGATAAACATTGTACCCTTTCTGAGCCTTGACTTCTTCCTTTACAAAATAAGAAAAGTAATACTTGCACTATCTATTTCATATAATCTTTGTTCTGAAGAAAACTCTATGAAAACCAGAAAGCATCACATAAATAAATATGTTGTTAATTCAACAACTTTTATTAAGGCAAGATGCAGCAAGACAGTGGATAGAGAGGTAGCATTATACATACTTGTGTCTAATGGTAGCCATCTCAAAGGCAGGGGTGGAGGGAGAGAAGAAAAAAAAGAAATTTACATAATAAATTTATTGTATATTTAAAAGGAATAGCAAATTATACATAATAGATTTGCAGTTTCATGTGCAATTATCTTTTTTCATTATTCTACTGTTATGGGAATGCTTATTTTATTTCACAAATTTAAAATTAAATAAATAAAAAATAAAAAAAGACACAGAAAGACCTGGAATCGAATTCCAATTCTAACACTTACTATTCGTGTGACCTGGGACAAGTCTCTTAATCTGTCCGTGATCCAGGAAGCTTTGTAAGTGGGGGACATATGCTTCAATAGAGGGAGTTTGCTTTATAACAACTGAATCATCCCCCCAAAAATTAGGCAAAGTATGAGTGAAGTGGTAAAGGAGATACAAAGAACATTTGCTCCCTACCTGTAGGGAGCTTACATTTACGAAAATTAATTCAGGTTTATGAAAATTAATATGGTCATATAAATATCTAAATCTTATTTTGAAATCTTTTTTTTTTAACATTGAGAGGAACACAAGAAGCTTTTGGACTCTGCAACAGAGTAATAAGTGATGAAGGAAGCCTGTGTTGCAAAGAAACAAATTACAATTTTTCATGTTTTAATGAAATTACAATACTAACTCCTCCTTATCCCCTGACTACTTGTTTAGCACTGATTTCTCCTTTATGACCTTTAGATTTCTACGTCAGTATGAATCGTGCTGCAAGGAAGTCTAAATAAGGAGGAAATGAATGGGGTAATAAATGGGTCTCCACCTTCACACTTTCAGCTTTAGACTCTCATGCTTTCCTCCTTTTTGGTCTTCTAGTCTTTGAGTGTCCCTTCCTTCCTCTTCCTCCTAAGGGATGCTGGCAGTCTGTGTGGAGTGTGCACAGAAGATGGGACTTTCCGCCAATATGTCCATTCTGCTTCTTCACGTCGTGTGTGTGATTCTTCAGGTTACTGGACTCCGGAGGAGGCAGTAGGTAAAACTGAGCAGCTTCTCACCTTTGGCCCTGCACCAGGGAATGGCAGAACCATACCACTGGTCCTGCAGACAAGCAGGAGAGTAAGAGAGTGGGTTGGACTTAGTCTTAATTTGGGACAAAACACTTCATTTCCTTGACCTGCTTCTTCCTTTATGAATTTAAGTGATGCAAGGATGAATGAGTGATTATAAGATTTTTTTGGTAATTGATGCACAATTACAACATCTTTGAAAGACTGCCTGTGGAGATTATTTTGATGTCCTAAGTGACAGTGATGGAGGAGAAGAATGGTTCCTCTCAGTGTCTTGGAAAGGCAATGGGGTAGGGGTACCTGAAAAGTCACTTTAGGATGGGCACATTGAATTATGTATCCATGACTGTTGGGTAAGCATTGTCATATTATATGTTATAAATATTGTCATATTACATTTCATTTGTTCTATTATACTTCAAGAAATATAACATAAGACATTTTGGCCTCGACCAGTGATTTCATCAGTGTAGGTAAACTCCAGTGTGGAAACTGCCTCTGAACTGAGAGATTAAGTGATTTTCCTGGGACAATGCAGATAGTATATGTCAATGGTAGGGCTTGAAACAAGTTCTCCCTGACTCCAAGGCTGGCTCTCTAGCCATTATACAACACTATAACATCTCAATATGCTATATAATTGTTTAAATAAATGTGACTATATAGTGTTTAACATAAATAATAAGCATATCCAGGAGACAGCCTGACCCACAAAACGGTGAATCCCTACTTCTTAGTCATTTGTTTCAAGAAAGTAATGGAAAACACATCACAGGGGGACACTCTTATGTTGGAGGGAGTTGATGGGGATGAACTAGGTGTTCCCAACTGTTCATTCTGATCTATGGTATTTATGAGTCTATTAACTGGGAACTAGCTGTACTTGAGACATAACTTAAGCCAGGCTCCCTAAAGGCTGAAAATGTTTTAGCTGTAGCTCTTGTGATCCCCTTCCCCACTTCACTCACATATACACTAGCATCCATTAACTCACTTTACAGAGGGAATCTTTTTTGCCTTCCAAAGGAGAAAGGCCAAAAAAAAAGAAAGATTCATATTTTTTTCTTCATATTTTTTCTGAATCCTTCTCCCCAAAGAGAGACATTACTACTGCTCTCTTTATCATCACATCACCAGCATCATTACATCGTCAGCATCAGCATTACCATCATTATTGTGTTTTTATCATTCACAAAGAACCACTGTGCTATTTGCTACTGGAGACAATGCTGGTAGAGATATAATTCCGTCTTGACAAACTTGTATTCTCAAATAAGACAGAGAAAGATTGAGCTTAATATGGTCCAAGAGCTAAAGGTGTTCAAAAAATGTCACTTTTTATATGCAAGAGAAAAGAACCTTGAAGAAGACCGGAGGAGGTAAAAGCCTTGATTAACTGTATACAATATTGTAAATCAGAGTTTTCTGGGAAGAATGGAAAAAAGGAACATGAACTCTGCACTGGCATGGTATCTGAACAATTTAAATTGGCATTTCATGAAAGACCATTTTTCTGTAGCAAACAGTTTGTCCTGTGCTGATGTTTTAGGACCTGTTTCTTTCTCTAGCCCTTTATTTATCTTTTAATTCTTGGAAAAAAATTCAAAGACCTTCTGGGTCTATGCACCAACAAGAGGTAAGAGTAAGGAGAAACTCTGAATTCTAATGCCTGTGGAGTGGTATGGAGCAAAGCACTTTAGTTTCCTAGGCTTCCCTTTTAGTGTCCAAAATGTGCATTTATTAAGGACTTACTGTGCTAGGCATAGTGCTAAGCATTGGGGATAGAAATACAAGCCAACCAGACAGTTCCTCCCCATGAGGAACTTACGTCCTAAAAGAGAAAGACAAATCATAAGGGGGAGATGGAAAGCAGGAGAGGGGTACCCCCATGGAGCAAGGCTACTGGCAAGGAAATGGAGAGGTCTAGGAAGTGAGTTGAGCTGGAGCCTCACATGAAATGAGAGCTAGATATCAATCTAGCTAGATCTTAATTTATTAATATTAATAATTAATTAAATTAAATAAAAAATAATCAATTAATAATAATTAAATCACAGCTAGATATTAATTTACCCAGTCAGGAAAGCAAGTTGCAGGGGAGAGGGATCTCAAGGTGAGGCAAGCCTTCTGACCTCTAAGAAGGACCTTCCTCATAAACCTGGCTGAAGTTCAGTAGGGACCAATAGTACCATTTCCTAATTTGCTTGTCTCTAGACCATGACCTAGAACTTTTAAAAATACCTTAAAACACTTTACCCACTTCTTTGAAAAGGTAGGGGAACTGTGGGTATTTATTGAACTATTGGTTAGTTTTGCTGAGCTTTTTTTTTCTTTTTAAAAAAATTAGTTGTTGCCATAAAGGATGCCTCTCTGAGATGAATAGGGAAGGAATATATTGGAAAATGTAGATAAGGTAAAAACAAAAAAATAACACCAATTATGGAAAAAAGAAGCTTAAAGATGTTGAAATCTTGGCATGTTCCATATTCAGAAGCAAATTCATGGAAATATTTATAAATAACATCATAGTTCATTCAGCCCCGTTCAACAATCATTAATAATCTACTAATGGGCTAGGTACTATGGAAGGGATATGTACTAAAAGGAATAGGACACAGTCCACAGAGTTAACAAACTGGTAGAAGAGATGCCAGGCACAAGGGTACATACCTGTAATCCCTGCTAACTGGGGAGTCTTAGGCTGGGGCATTTCTTGAGCTTGAGAGCTCTGAGCTCCAATGTACTAGACCAATGGGGTATCTGCACCAAGTTCAGTCTCACACCAATACGATGAGCCCTCCCACAGCAGAGTCATCAGGCTGCCAAAGGAGGGGCAAACTAGCTCAGGTCAGAAAAAAAGCAAAGTTTCTGTGCCAATAAGCAGTTGGATCAGGTCCAAAAGTGGCTGCTGAACATCCAGCCTGGGTTAGATGGGGAGATCTAGTCAAGAGAGACATACACAGAGATAGAGACAGAGAGAGACAAAGAAAGGAGACACAGAGAGAGACAGAGATAGATGGAGAGATAGAGACACAGAAGAGAGAAATAGAGAGGAAGGGAGAAGAAAGAGGGAAGGGAGAAAATAAAAGGGAGACAGGACAAAGGAGAGGGAGATGGGGAAAGGGAGAGAAGGAGAAAGAAAGAAGAAAAGAGGGAAAAGGAGAGAGGGAAAGAGGGAAGAGAAGGAGAGAGGGAGAGATAAACACAAGTCACTAGAAAAATCATTAGAATACCAAGTAGAATGGTATGTATCATAAGTCATACTAACTACCTGAGAACATATTTGCAATGGTTTGTGTGTTGCTTTTAAAATTTTTGTATCTTGAATTATTAAGGCCATATGCATTTGTGGAGTGGAAAATAAAACCACTTCCATGGATTATTCCTGCACATATGACCTCTTGAAGCTTTATGATTTGTGTTCCTTTATAGATATTTGTGAGGCAATGTGACATGATGGTCAGAGCACTGGCCTTTGAGCCAAGAAGACTTAATTGCACCTCTGACAAATACTCACTGTGTGACCTTTGGCTAGTCACCTGATCTCTCAGGATTTCAGGCAATTCTCAAAAATGATAATTTGCTAGACCATCAGTTGCTAATGTATAACTGGTCGGTGGAGTTTCCTTCCATACTGGGGATTCCTTAAAATGGTGAAATTATAGGTCTCACATCCCCAGCAATATATGCTCATTTGCATATATAAGTTGGCAACTACATGTCTGTCTTACTTTCATTTGATAATGCTTGTTTATTTCTCTTGACCCCCGGCTTTCCCTGGGGAAATATATATGTTCACAGGTAGTATAATGGCACAACAATGAGAATTTTAAAACCAATCTAAAAAAATAGGCTACAGTAAAAGCCAGGTTATGAGCCAGAGTTCATGGATGGGTTAGATGCCAAGTTGGAATCTAAACAACCAGAAAGAAATTTTGTGGAGAGGGGAGAGACTCAGAAAGCATTGTGTCTAAACTTCATTAACTTGGAATTTGTGTTGATACTGCAGCAGCTAGACTAGTATTAATACTTTTTAAACCTATCAATGAATATTTATTAAATGCCTACTATGTGCCAGGCACTGTGATAAGTGCTGGGTATGCAAAAATAGGCAAAAGAAAGTTCCTGTCCTTACGGAATGCACTACCTAATGGGAGAGACAGCATTAAAACAAGTGTGCACAAGCAAGCTATACATAGGATAAAGGGAAAATAATTAATAGAGGGAAGGCTTGAGAGTTAAGAGGGGTTAGGGAAGGCTTCCTGTAGAAGGTGGGATTTTAGTTGGGACTTAATATATAAATAACCATTTATATCCAAAAATTATAATATACTAAAACCAACTTGGATTCTGCAAGGATATCAAGTATGCAATACTTTGTTAACCTAGCTTTTGAACCTAGAATTTGTGCTGATCCATTCCCACTCTTTTGACCTATTCCCCTCTGCCCTTTCAAGGACACGTATTTAGAGCTGATTGATTAAGTTAGACCTCAGCATGTCTGGTAGATGTTGTGACCTATTATGGGGGATTTGTAAAAATACATGGATGAGGATCACTGAGGAAGGTCAGGCATAGATGTACAGCACTGTGATCTGCGTAAGCATAGAGACTAGTACTTTGGTCCACAAAGGAAACTCCCAGATGCGTAAAACCCTTTTTAACAATGTAAGACAGCACCATCTATACAACTTATAGTCTTTTAGAGTTGCCTAGAGCCTTGAACAGCTAGGTGGCAAAGTGGATAGAGCATTAGCCCTGACTCCAGGAAGACCTGAGTTCAAATCTGTCCCCAGACCCTTACTAGCTGTGTGACCCTAGGGAAGTCACTTAACTCTGTCTCAGTTTCCTCATCTGTAAAATGAGCTGGAGAAAAATGGCAAACTACTTCAGTATCTTTGCCAAGAAAATCCCCAAAAGGGGTCACAAAGAGTCAGAAATGACGGAAATGACTCGACAACAACAATAAGAGCATTGAGAGGTTAAATATCTTGTCCAGGGTCACACAACAAGTACATAGGATACTACTCAAACCTCTTGAACCTTGATCTTGGCTTGGGGCAGCTCTCCATCCATGGTACTCTGCCTGCCTTGCAATCTGCATAGGTGGAGGGGATACTTACACTGACACACAGATCTATTAGAATACTGGGCTAGATATAGGGTTATATACTATATTAATGTAATGACCTCATATCCTTATCCTCATTAGCACTAGGCCCTAACCAATCAAGCTGACCTGTCAGAGTAGTGCTTGATATAAGTACAGGATTTTATTCTTTATCTTTTTTTTTGTCACTGTCTTCTTTTTTTGTCACTCCTCCCTCTCACTGCATTTTCCTAGGGCCCCCAGATGTGGACCAACCCTGTGAGCCAAGCTTACAGGCCTGGAGTCCAGAACTCCATCTGTACCATATGAACATGACAGTCCCTTGTCCAGCAGAAGGCTGTAGTCTGGAGCTGCTCTTCCTCCATCCAGTCCATGCAGATAGCCTTACACTGTGGATCACCTACCTCTCCATGGATTCCTCCCAAGCTCTCTTTGACATGGAGGTCTTAATGGAAAACCATGAGTCTATTCATCTGGGACCCTTGGACACCTTCTGTGATACTCCCCTCACTGTCAAACTTAATGTTGAATGGAAAGTCTCAGGAGTGAAGGTCTACACGTTTGATGAGAGGATGGAAATTGATGCAGCTCTCCTTACCTCTAAGCCTCATAGCCCACTGTGCTCTGGCTGCAGGCCTGTGAAGTACCAGATCCTTCGGGATCCCCCATTTAAAAGCAACTCCCCTATCATGGTGGCACACCGTCATCGGAAATTCACTGATAAGTGAGTTGGAAAACTGTCTTGGAATTTTTCTAGTGTTTTCAATGGGATTATGGTTTTCTTTCTTTAGGAATTTTTAAACACCTATTATGTTCTAGGGGGCTATGGTAAATACTAGGGAAACAAATATTAAACAGTCTCTGCTTTCAAGAAGCTTACAGTCAGTTCAGTAGACATTTAATAAGCACCTACTATGTGTCAAGTGCTGGAGAAACAAAGTCCAAAGTGAACAGCTAATGCTGTCAAGGAGCTTACTCTCAATTCACCATGAATTTATTAAGTGTCTCCTATACTAAGTACTAAGGAACAAAAGACAGTCCCAGACCTCAAGGGATTTACCCTCTACTGAGGGGGACAAAATGAGTGCATAGAAAAGAAAATAGAAAATCTAGATAGTAAGTGTGAAGTGGTTTCTGAAGGGAAGAGTGTTAGTTTTTCTGGAGGAGATGACATTTGAACTGAGTTTTGAAGGAAGCTCAGGATTCTAGAAGGAGGAAGAACATTCTAGGCAGGGTTGACAGCTTAGGCCAAGGCAAAGAAATGGGAGGTGAAATGCCTTATATGAAAAACAGCAAGTGGTTAAATAGGTCTGGAATGTAAAATATATAGAGGAGAATAATATGCTATAAGATTGGAAAGGTAGATTGGAGCCAAATTGGAAAGGGCTTTAAAAAAGAAAAGAAAGAGAAGAGTTTAGCTTTTATCCTAAAGACAAAGAAAAGCCTCCTTCTTGAGGAGGGAAATGTCATGGTCAGATCTTTGCATTGAGAATATTGATTTATAAGTTATGTGGAGGACGGTTTGGAGAGGGGCCAGACATGAGGCGGCGAGACTACTTAGATTATTGCAGGAGTTGAGGAACGAGGTGATAAAGGCCCTATTACTATTGTATGCATGTGAGTGGAGAGAAGGGAATGGATGAACATATACTTCCCAAACAAACTCAATGAAACACGGCAATGCATTGGATGTGGGGAGTAAGGGAAAGTGAAAGGTTGAAGATGACTCTGAGGTAAAGTTGGGTAATTAGAAGTATGATGATCCCACCAATGGAAATTAGGGAAGTTTGAAAGAGGGGATCATTTTTTTGGGAGGTAAATAAGGGTCTGTTTTGGACATGTTAAGATTAAGATACCTGTAGGCATCATGCATTTGGAGCAGCCCGATATCTGTTTGGTTATATTGGCCTGTGTTCAGTAAAAAGAATAGGGCTGGTTATATAGATATAGAAGTCACCTGAAAAGACATGACAATTAAACCCCTGGCAGTTCATGAGATGACTAAGATAGAGATTGGAGAGAAGCACACAACAGAGCCCTGTAATACACTCATAACTGGAGAAAAGGATGATGATTCTGCAAATGACACTGAGAATTATTGGCCAGATACATAGGTGAAAAAACAGAGAGTAGTGTCATGAACATTCAGGATGTTACAGGTTTCTATTTAAAGAAGGTGGTCAGCAGTATCGAATGCTACAGAGAATTTAAGAAGATTAAGTACTAAGAAAAAGCTATAAGATTTGGCAATTATTAAATGATTGATAACCTCATAGAGCAGTTTCAGTTGAATGCTGAGGAGGAAGCCAGATTGTAGTGGGTTAAAAAGTGAGCGTAAGATAAGAAAATGGAGGAAACAAATGTAGATATCTTGTTCTAGGAGTTCAGCTATGAAATGGAAAAGAGATATAGGCCGGTATATGGGGAAATAGTAGGATTAAATGAAGGTATTTTTATTTGTTTGTTTTCCAGGATGCAGTAGATTTGGGCATATTTGTAAGCAATAGGGAATGAGCCAGCAAATAAAGATAGATTTAAAATTGGTGGGGATGGGGGTAAGAATAGTTCCCAGGGATAGGCTTCCAGAGAAGGTGGAAAGGGATGAGAGCAAAGACACAAGTAGAAAGGTTAGTGTTGTCAGGAAATAAGAACTACCTCTACCTCCTAGATTGGAGTAAAGGAAGAGAGAAATGGATCATTACATTGAGGTGGCTTGAAGTATGAAGTTGGAGAGGAAAAGGAGCTTGTGATGGATAACCTCAATTTTTTTGACATAATACTTGGTGAATTCTTCTATTAGGGATTACAAGAGGGAAATTGTGTAGGTAGTTTGAGGAGAAGGGAGAAAAGCTACAGCAGATGCTTAGTATGGTAGACTATAGAGTCAATTGGGAAAATGGTAAAAGGATCGTTGTTCAAGAACGTGGCTCATAGAGGATTGGGCTAGCATGATTGTGTGACTTTCTCCATTTACATTCAGTAGCATGGATGTAGGATTTGGGAAAGTGGATGGACAGTGGGAACATTCGTGGGTGATAATGAGATCAAAGATCTGCTTGAACTTTTTTATCCCTGTATGATGCTGTAGTAGAGTGAAGGTCATGGAGATAATAATAATAATACTTAAATACTTTAAGGTATGTGAAGAGCTTTACACATAGACTCTCATTTGATTCTCACAATAATCCCTTGAGGTAGGGAAATAGTATCTACTCAGATAAATAAATAGAAAATAACCACAAAGTAAATACAAAACAATCTCACTTGGGAGTGGAGAAAAGCATTCAACAAGGGGGATCAAGAAAGCCCTTGTCTAGTTGCTGATACCTGAACCGAAGGAAGTTTGAAGAAAGCCTGGATTTTGAAAAAGCAGGGATGAGGATAAAGTGCATTTCAGTCATACAGCCTTTACAAGGGCATGGAGGTTAGAGATGAAATATCACGGACAGGGAAAAGTCAGGTAGGTGACAATTGCACAGACTGTAGAGTAAGCAAAATTTGTTTAAGGAGCCACTGAACTCACCTTCCTGTAGCTCATTCACCGCAAACTTGGCAACTACCTAATGCAGCAAGAATTTCTCCTGGCTATCAAAATCTGCCTGAGGAAAGATTGTGATATGCTCATTCATACTGAGGTTTAAAGAGCTAATGACATTAAAAACAAAACAAAGCAAAACATTTCAATAAGCATAAATGAAAGGAGTTGCTATGTACAAGTATCTGTGCCAAAACTAAGGAGGATTGAGAGTTGAATAAAACACTGGCCTTCCCTCAAGGAATTTGTAGTCTTATAGAAAAGATACAGAAATGACTATGAAATAAGGCAGTTTACGTTAAAGGTGTGAGAGATACAAAGTGTTGTGAATGAGGTTTATAATAATAAGGCTGTGATAAGGCTTAATATCTTCATTCTCCTCAGCTACTGATGTATAAACAAAGGATAAATAGTAATTATCTAGATGAAGAACATTAGGCATCATAGAAAATCTTCTAGAACATAGACTTCTTCTAGAATATAGGAGAGTGGGAGAATAGGGCAAGCTAATAATCCTGAACACATACTTGGTACCATACTATAAGAAAGCTGCCTCATCTTTATAAGACTTTTTCTTGGGAAATAATCATCTGGACCAGCGCAAGAATTCTCTGGTTGGCCTTGTTGCCTCAAATATCTCCCAGTTCTAATCCACCTTCCAGGTGATCTTCCTAAAGTGCAGGTCTAATACGAACCTTCTGCTCACTAAACTCCAATGGCTCCCTATTACCTCTGGGATCAAATACAAAATCCTCTGTTTAGCTTTTAAAGCCCTTCATCACCTGGGCGCTTCCTACCTTTCCATTCCTCTTACACTTTCATGGCCCTTCACCTACTCTGCCATCCAGCAATATCCTCATTGCTGATCCTCACAAAGGACATTCCCTCTCCCTGCTATGGTCATTTCCACTCACTTCCCCCTCCCCCAGTGCTTGGCATTCTCTCCCTCTTTCTCTCTATGTCCTGGCTTCCCTTGCTTCCTTCAAATCATAGCTACTCACCCCCCATACCACACACCACTACTGTAAGAAGTTTTCCTTGTGCTCCTTAGGTGTTTCCTCTAAGATATCTCCAATTTTCCTATACAGTAATAATATTTTGCATGTGCACAGTGGTTTACACGTTGTTTCTTCCACTAGAATTGAGTTCCCTGAGAGCAGGGACTGTTTTTGGCTTTCTTTCTATCCCCAAGGCTTAACAAAGCACTTGGCACATAGCAAGCGATTAATAAATACTTGTTTACTTTATTTGCCTTGGAAATAAAAAAAAGTTGTTTATTTGACCTTTTCAAAGAAGTACGAAGAAAAAAATTCAAAGAAAAACCAAAGTTAATCCCAAGTGCCATAGCTGCCATCATCCTGGTTACTTCTAAGATGCCCCCAAATCAGTTCCTTTTCATATCATCAACTGGGTGGTACAGCGCATAGACCACTGACACTGGAATGCGGAAGAACTTTACTGGCCTTAGATGTTTACCAGCTCTTTGATCCTGGCAAGTCGCTTAACCTTTCTCAGTCTCAGCTTCTTCATCTGTAAAGTGGAGGTAATAATACTCTCATAGTTGTTATGAGGACAAAAGGAGATCATCTTTTTATCTAAAGTACTATATACACACTAGCTATTGCTATGATGTAGTTATGTGCCTTCTTAACATTTCTCTATACTAAAACATTTGCAGAGGACAAGAGTGCATTCAATTCATTCATCATTTAACCTTGACTCTTTACCCACCACGTATATATGGTATAGTCTGGAAGGGAGTGGGTAGAGGAGAATATAAATATAAATGACACGGTCCATGGTTTTAAAGAGCTTAATTCTAGTAGAAGACACAAGACATGTACACAAATAACCATAATATTTGTTGTAGTAAGTAAACATGACAAGAACCAGAAGAGAGACACAAAGTACTATAAGGGTGATCGGAGACCTTGAGAGTAAAGACCGTTTCATTCTTTGTATTTGTTTCTCCAACACCTAGCATTGTATTTGACATAGAGGAAGCCTTTAATGTTTGTTGATTAATTGCAGGAAAAGATCAATTCCCTCTAGAGACTGGGGGGGGTGGTAATCAGGAAAAACCTTCACGGAGAGGGTTGGATTTGATTTTAGCTTGAAAGGGTGGATAGATTTGTTCAGACAGACATGGGAGTGGGGAAGGTTTTTTCCAAATAGACAGAACAGTGTGACCAAAGGCAGGAAGAAGGCAGGCATGGGGGATAGAATGCATATTTGGGGAATGATGCTCTGGTCCAATTTGGTTGGAACAAAGGGTACATTAAAAGAATAGTAGAAGTTCAGGCCTGATTGCCATAACCATGAATAACAAGCTGCAGAACTAGTGATTCATTCAGTAGGTAATGGGGAGCCAATGAAACTTTGCAGCCATTATCAGTCTCATGTTTAATGAAGGTAACTGTAACAGTGGTGTGCAGGCTGAGAAACTAGAAGGGGAGAGCGTGTCTCTTTGTACTATCCCATAGCCTTCTTTCACTGTTTCCCCTTTGGTTTTGACAGGGAAGTTACTCCTGGTCAGGTATATCAATACCAGATTCAAGCTGCAGCTGGCACAGAACTGGGAGAAGCCTCTCCTCCTCTGATCCATATCCATGGCACCCCCTACTGTGGGGATGGGCAGGTGACAGAGTGAGTACTTTTTCCAGTAGGAACTTATGCGCAAAGATGGTTGCACGGCAAAGGATTTTCAGCCCCTAGTTTGGGTTTTGATGTATTATGTGAAGTTGGGGTAGGGTAAGACATGTCAACCTTTTTAGTCAATCATAGATTCCCAGAATCCAGAGCTTAAATAGGAATCTTTAATGGGAATCACAGTCCACCCGCCTCTAGAGTTTGGTAGTTGGTCTGAGCTCCTTACTTTGTGGTAACTCCACATTATTTGAAAAAAAGTGGTTACTGGTCAGTGACCCAAAGAGGCACCTAAGTGAGAGAGAAGAAGATGAATCGTAAGCTGCTACTTAAACATGACCTGAGAACCAACAAATTGGCAGGGTAGTAAATTAGAAAGACCATCGAGCTAGGTTCCAGGGTTGGCTCGGCCACTAACTAGCTGAGTTACCTAAGAGCTAGTGAGAAACCCAGGGGAAGAGAGTGTACCATCACATTGCCTTAGAAATAGAAATATTTGTTCTTGTAAACTTCTTGATTCTATGTTATTGTATTTTGTTTTGTTTTAGTTCTCCCATAGTTACCTAATAAAGCTCCTTTTGGAATGTCAAACTTATCTTTGTTAAATTGAAGGAGTAAAGATTTCTTTTTCCATCCTCAGACCTAGAGAAACAGGGTTTTGGGATTACCCCTAGAGGCCAAGGTGTGGTGATTGTTATTACAGAGACCAGATCATTTATCACACGTTCTGGAAGCTGGACTTCCCAGAAAGGTGAAAACAGAAAGGAGGAATCATGAGTGTTCTTCCTTTCCTATCCAGGATATTTCCTAAGGTCATAGGGATGTCTTCTACCATAAAATGTCCCAGTGGAATTGGCTCAATATCTGGGCTCTGTAATGGTAGATGAGTCACGGCACGAGCTTTCAATATTTCCCTTTCGGGCTTGGAAGACCAAAAGAGTTATCATAAGGGGCTGAATAGAAGAGTCTTGAATTGCAAACATGGTGAAATATTTAGAGCCTTGGAAGAGAGTGTTTCAAAAGCCTTGTGATCAGAGCAATTCATGAAGTTGTAGTACATCTTGGCAAAGGACCAACGGTGTCTTTGTCAAATTATGTATCTTTTTCTTCTATAAAGAACATTGTTATTGACTAGAAAACATTCAGTGCCTCAGAGTCATGAAGCATTCTGTACTCCGAGCATTATGTAGTGAAGTGTCAAGAGTCACAAGCAAGGGTTTATGTTTATGGTAATGCACTTGCACAGACTAAACAGTCAGGAACTAATGCAACTTTCTGGAAAACATCTAACACTCTAGAAGGACATTTTTCAGTGGGCAATGAGAAGTCAATTATAATTTTCCTTTTGTGGGGGAAAATGGCAGAAACAACAGCCTTAGAGAAGCTTAAAGTTCTAGCTTTCTTTTAGTGGTTGGCCTATCATGGCTTGAATATTCCTTATGATGTGTGAAAAGAACATCAAGAGTACTGATATAGTCACCTAATCAGGTGGCATATCAATGTCACTTTTTAAAAATTTGCTCCTTGGATTCCAGTTAAATCGAAAGAAGCACAATTTTGAATTCTCCATGCATTTATCTTCTGCTAATCTCATGATCAGACCATCAATAGAGCATAGTACTACATGTGGTATCCTCCAAAGCATTATTAAGTTCAATAAAGTATTGGGAAATCTCAGGGGCCAAATAAACTCAGAACTGTGGTTATTTAAGTCAGAACTGTCACAAATCTCTTCCCATCGCAATCCATATTCTGCTGGGCTATGACAGTCATCTTCCTAAAACATAATTATCTATTGTATCAACTCCCAACTCAATCAACTTCATTAGCTTCCTATCACCAAAGTCCTCTGGCATTCACAGCCTTTTATAACTTCCCTCCCTCTGCCACTCACCTTTCCAGTCTCCTTTATTCCTTATCCTCCCCTATTCCCATACTTGACAATCCAATATCATTGACTTCCTTGTAGTTCCTGGAATGTTACTCCTTCTTCTGACTGTGGGCATTTGTCTAGAATGTTGTAATTGTATAAATGGTTCTGCTCACTTCACTTTACATCAGGTCATATAAGTCTTCCCAAGTTGCTCTGAAACTGTTCTTTTCATTGTTCCTTACAGCAAAATACTATCCAGTATAATGCATATACCATAGTTTGGTCAGCTCCACCTCACTTGAAAATCACCTCCTTGGTTTCTGATTCTTTGCATAGATTCTCTGCTGTTATTAGGAGTGTTGTTTTCACTTCTGAAATCATAGTTTAGAACTCCATCAAAAAACTGGAGAACATTCAGAGAAGGACAACAAAGATGTTGAAGGACCTTGGATCCATGTCACGTGAGACTCATTTGAAGATGTTTAGTCTGGGGAAGAAAAGACCAAAGGGAGAATACAGTATTTGAAAAACTGTCACATAGAGGAGTGATTAGACTCATCCTGTCTGCCTCATGAGAGAACAACCACAAGCACTGGATGGAAGTGGAAAAGAAGAAAATTTGACTTTGATGTCAAGAAAGACTTCCTAATTATTAGAGCTGTCCAATGGGCTTACCTCAAGAGGTGGTGGGTTCCCTTTCCTTGGAGGTCTTCAAACACAGGCTAGATGCCTTCTTGTTGGATATGTTGTAGTAGGGATTCCTTCCTAGATTGCCACTGAGTTACTTTACAACTCTCAAATTCTATGCTTCTATGAACTGTGTGACCAACTATTTAACCTGTCTGGACCTCAGCTTGCTCATATGTAAAAATGAAGGGATTTGGCTAAGTGACTGCATAGGTCCCATTTAGCCCTAAATCTCTAAACCTCTGAAGTCCCTCCTTGCTCAAATGGCATAGATAATGAAGACGTTCAAGTTGGAAGGCGACCTTGTGACCAGTCCAAATTTCTGATCTTTCAGATGAGGAAACGGAAGCCAAAATGGTTCCAGTGACTTGCTCAAAGCCATAGAATCTAGTGGAATGAACAAGCGACAACTATGGTCTCCTGATTCTTACTTAGCTTATTTAAATACATCAGAGATTTTAAAAGTGTATAGAAGTTTTATTGATTTTTACAAACTCTTTTAAGATACAGAGATCATAATTTTAAGTTACGGAACTGGATAAAGTTACCATAACAGGACACGCACCATATTTTAACTTGCTTTATCACAAAGACCAAAGGAAAAGCCACCATTTCTCACTCCTTTTCTCTTAGAAGTCTGGGAGAAGAATGCGATGATGGAGATTTGCTTGATGGAGATGGCTGCTCTAGAAAATGTGAGAAGGAAAAAGGCTTCAACTGTGTTGGTGAGTCTAGAACATTCTCCCTGGGGCTGTTTTTGGATCTATTTGCTTTTGTCAGTGAAAAGGAATCTTTTTTTTTTATTCTTGTTACTATTACTTAGGCATTCACTGGGGAGGAACACAACTGTTCATCCATGTTGCTTATGGCAGCATTATTGTATTTGAGTATGACAAAATCCCTAAAACTAGAAAGGAAGCTTGACTATAATTTTCATTTAGCATTAATTTACTTCATAGACATTAGACACAATTTGTTGTGGGTTGTGCAGAACATATGCTTGATATGGTCTCCTTACTCTAAAAGCTTGGGTTCTTAGCTCAAAGAGATATAGACCTTAAAAAAGGAATATGGAGGCCATCTAGTAAGTTCGCTACAGTGGATAGAGAGCTGGGCCTGGAGGCAGGAAGATTCATCTTCTTGAGTTCAAATCTGACCTCAGATGCTTAGTAGCTGTATGTTCCTTCTCCAGCTCATTTTATACGTGAGGAACTGAGGCAAACAGGGTTAAGTGACTTACCCAAGGTCATACAGCTGTGTGATCATGGGTGAGTCACTTAACCCTGCTTGCCTCAGTTCCTCATATGTAAAATGAGCTGGGGAAGAAAATGTCAAACCACTCCAGTATCTTTGCCCAGAACACTCCAAATGGGTCATGAAGAATCAGACATGATTGAATTGACACAAGAACAACAGTAAGTCCAGCCTTCTATTTAGTGCAGGAATTCTCTCTACAGAATTCCTGCCAGGTAGTTATCTGGGCTGTTCGATTCATTTCTACAAACATTTATTGTGTGACTACTATGAACCAGGAACTGAGCTAGGCACTGAAAATAGGAAGACAAAAATGGAAGATTCCCTGCTATTATTGAGTTTATATCACATGTGAGGGAAAACAATATGTGCACATATCAGTAAATGAAAAAACATATACCAAGAGAATACAAGTATTTGGAGACGGGAGACACTAATTACTGGACAGATGGGGAAAGGCCTCATTGAGTAGATGGCACATTATGTCAGTGAGAATGGCTCATTGGAAGGAGATCTGGATTCAGAGTCAGAGAACCTGGGTTTTGATCACAGCCTTGCCACTTTCAGGTTACCTGAGTGTCCTTACAAGTCCCTTACTTTCTCTGAGCCTTATTTCCTCATCTGTCAAATGAATGGGATTGGATTAGATGTCCTTGAAGTTCCCCTCCAAATCTAAATCCATGATCCTAAAATACAATCATATGAATTAAGCCTTTACTGGACCTGCAGAGTCTAAGTTATAGAGATAAGGAGGGAGAACATTCTAGTTGTGGGGGACAGTCTATATGCAAAGGCATGTAGATGAAGTGCCTGTGCAGCAACTGGTAAATAAATCAGTTTATAATGATAAGTAAGTCTAGAAAGATAGGCTGGCACCATATTTTTGTATTTTATCTTAGGGACAATAGAAGTTCACTGAAGGAAGCTTCTTGATCAGGGGAATCAGACTTATGCTTTAGCAATATCAATTCAGCCGCTGTGTAGAAGACGATTTAGAGAGGAGAATGAAGGTAAAGAGGCATAGGGTGTTATTTCAGTAGTTTAGATGAAAGGTGATCAAGGACTGAGCTGGAGGATGAGTGGAGGGGAATGATCCAGGATAGGATGTAGACATCAAATCAACAAGACTTCTGAGAGGAAGAGAACAATAATAAGTATAATAACTAGAACTTGTATAGCATTTTAAGGTTTGCAAAAAACTTTACAAATATCTTATTTTATTCCTAATATAACCCTGGGAGGTAGGTGCTATAATTATCCCCATTTTACAGATGAGGAAAGTGAACAAACAGAGGCTAAGTAACTTGCCCAAGATCATACAGCTAGTAAGTATCTGAAGCAGGATTTACATTTGGGTCTTCTTGACTCCAGGTCTGGGACTCCATCCACTGTGCCACCTAGCTGAGATTATAAGATCATAGATTTAGAACTGAAAGGGATTTTACGTCACCATTTCCAATGACAATATATTCCATTTTTTAACAGCTCAGATGTGGGGAAGTTCTTATAAAGAACAGATGTGGGCTTCCCTATACTCCCACTGTTTTATCATTGTTCTGTCCTCTGGAGCTACATAAATTAAATGTAACCTGTTTCAAATAAAAATTATTATTATTATTAAAGATAATAACTAATACTTATATGGTGCTTTGGGTATTTGAAGACAGCTATTATGTTTGACATAAGTCTTCTTATCTTCTGGATAACTAGTCCTTCCCCTCCCTCCTACCCCGTCCCATACACACAGGTCTTTCAACTATTCTTCAGATACAATGGTTTTGAGTCCCCTCACCTTGACCTTGTCTTCATATGCTCAAGTGCCCCCAACCACTCAATTCTTGTGAAGAATTTGCTTTGTACATCTTAGAGAAAGTCACACATCTGAACTATTGATGGCTATTATTTGTCAATGTCCCTCCTAAACCTATCTGCTGGAAATGAACTCAACACTCTAGAAGCTAAGTCTGAGAAGAGAGGGAGCATCATTTCCCTGGTTCTGAGTGTTAAACTTCCATCCATTCAGCCTAGGATCTGCTCAACTTCTAAAGCAGCCATATGCCACATTATTCACCTAGGTGATGATTTTCATTAGGTCTTTTTATGTAATCTTCTTACATTTACCATTTAGCCAACTTTTGATTTTTGAACATAAGAGTATAGCTTTACATTTTACTCATTATATTTCAGTTGGTTAGTGCCCCAAACCTAAGAATAACTGGAACTAAATAATATTGTTTAAAGCCTTCCAGGGAAGCACATTCTGTAGCTTCTCAAAGTTATTTGTTACAGTAAACAGTAAAGTTCACAGTCAAGTCTAATATGTTAAACAGAACCCAGAACACAGTCCCATTTTGTCCTATCTCAACATACCAAGTATGGTGAAATAGAGCTGGAACTAGCGTGAAGTGATCAGATTTTTGCCCCAGGACACTGAAAAGTTCAAGGGGCCTGATGGCAGTTTTACTCCTTTAGCAGATAACATGAATTGAGCTTAGCACTTTTAAAAAAATTGTTTTGGTTTGTTCACAGGGGACTTATGATTTCATTGGTTGAGGCAGTCATTGCCAAAAGGGGGCTTTGGCTTCCTGAAGGGTCATTGCTTGATCTGAATAGGTAGATGATCAACCAATCTGAGGGTGGGGTAATGGGTCCAATCCCACCTACCTTGAGAAACAGTTGGAATGCCTATCTCCCACGTAGCATTATTCTTCCACTTCATTGTCTCCCACTTCTGTGCAAACTTCCAGTCTTTCCCCTTCTACCCACTTGGACCATGTAGAATCGTTATGACCCAGATTCCACCTTGGGTACTCACACCATCCACTGCACAAATGACATTGAGAAAATTCCCCAGTCCCCAGGGGAGTCCCTAGTCTGCCTTCCTGGTCCTCTTGTGGATATTGAAGGTGGAATTGACTGGTTCTGTACTCCAAGGCAGAGTTAGAGCCTCTTTGCACAGGGCTGTCCTGGAGCTAACTCCTACCTGCTGATAGTTAAATTTTCAGTGTGTATGTTGACACCTCAAAAATTACAAATCAGGTTCATACAACCAGTGTATGTCAGATATGGTATTTGAACTCAGATCTTCTGGGCCAGCACTCTATCCACTTTGCCATACTTCATCTTTATTTTAAGTCTTTATTGTCTTTTATTCTGAACTTAAATACCAAATAAAATGAATATTTCTATATAAAAAGTTCAACAGAGACAGAGAACTTTACATGCACAAGCTCTTATTTTTAGCTTGCTTTTTTCCGTCATGAAAAGAATAAATTCAACATATAACTTTCTAAGTTTCCTGTTTGCCTGTTTTCCTTCTGGCTTTCTTCTGGTTTCTTCTTTGTGTGTATAAACATGCTCCTTATCCTCCTTTCTTCTCTTTTTTAAATAGTCTTTTCACAACTCCCCTTCCCAACAACTCTCCCCATTAAAGAGGAAAAAAAAGAAATCTTTGTAATGAACATATATACTTCATCTTTCAAAAACAAAAGATGAAAACAAGCCATGCATGAGTGCGAGAATGTGTGTGCGTGTGTGTGTGTATGTTTAATACTTTCCTTAGCTGAGGAAAATATATCTATGTTCCCTTAAAAATAGCAATGGAAAAATACTGAACATTAGCATAAAATATGGAAGCAGACAGGAAGGTACTTGAGGCAGTGAGGTGTGCTAAATTTGTACTTAGATTTGGGTTCACTATGTGACCCTTGGGCAAGAGATTAATTCTTTCAGAGAGTTTCAGAGTTTAGCTTCCTCTTAGAGGCTGCTAAAATGTGAAGTGGATAGAACTGTGGGCCTGGAATCAGGAAGATCTGAGTTCAAATGCAGCCTTGGGCATTTATTAGCTATGTGACCTTGGGTGAGTCCTTTGAACCTCTGTTTGCCTTAGTTTCCTCTAATGTAAAATGGGGACAGTAGTAGACTATACCTCCAAGAGCTGTGAGGATAAAATGAAATGTTTATAAAGTGTTAAGCATAACGCCTGCCACATAGCAGGTGCTATATAAATGCTAGCCATCATTATGATTATTAATTGTCCTCTCTAAGTCTTAATTTTCTCTTCTGTAAGATACGTTTAATAACAGCACCTACCCTCAGGACTGTTCTGAACACTGGATTGTATGTTACATATTTTGCCTAAATATCAGGACTCATTTCTGTTACTTGACTAAATTAGCAGTGTGTGGGGTTTATGAGTTACATCTCCTAGACTCGCAGATTTTCAGGAGTCTGATGGAAAAGTAATCACCAATGGGACAATGACTCTACTCACAGCAGTTAGGCTGTTTTAAATTATTTTTTCTGTCCTTCTTCTTTTCCCTTTAAGTTCCAAAAGCAGTCAAATGAACAATCAATCTAATGCGTTTTTTTTTTTATGAGTGGAGCTTCTATTGAAAATTCTGGGTGTCTCTCACAAGCGGTTTGATTCTATTTGCTTCTATTGATCCCAAGAAAAAGACAATGACTTAAATTAGGCAACAGGGCGAGGCTAACCTGCACTCTAGGATATTAGAGTAGGCCTTGGTTATAATGAATTTATAACAGTAAACTCATGTTGATTGGGTCATTTGGGATATAGCTTCACATATTTATACAAAATGCATGTCTAAGTAGATACTCAAGCTCTATACTGCATGTTTCAGCAAACTAGTCAAAGAAAGCTTAACTACTTGACATGCCTAGAAATAGATATCATCAATTTGCAAGTAGGGTGTCTAGGACGAATTAGTGGAGTGAAATTAATTTAATTTAACAGAAATTTGTTAATCATGTCCAGGACTTCTAACAGTAGCTAACATTTATGTGGCACTTTAAGATTTGCAAAATGTTTTACAAATATTACCACATTTTATCTTTTCAACAACCCTGGGAGATAAGTGGCATTATGCCCATGTTATAGTTGAGAAAACTGAGGCAGAGGTTAAGTCACATAGCTAGACAGGATTTGAACACAGGTCTTCCTGATTGCAGATCTGACACTCTATCTACTGCACCACTTAGATGCCTCTGTCATCTAACCTTTGTAAAGCTAGTCTTGTAAATCCCTTTTAAGTGACGGGTGGCATCAAACCAAGGTAGATCCTTTCTATGGTACTGGTTACCCATTTTCTAACTGTTTGTCCTAGAAAGTGCTCAGACCTTCTCTGCTTCCAATACCTAATATCTTTACAGGAGAGCCAAGCCTGTGCTACATCTATGAGGGAGATGGGATATGTGAGCCTTTTGAGAAGATGAACAGCGTCCTAGACTGTGGCCTCTATACTCCCAAAGGATATTTGGATCAATGGGCCACTCAGGCTTATACATCTCATCAGGATAATAAGATGTGCCCTGTTTCCCTGGTGACTGGGGAACCTCTTTCCAAGGTAAGTCAAGTGTTATGACCAGAATAAGTAAATGGTAAATTAGTTGAAGTCTACCTTTGGTACCTTTGTACCCATTTGCCTTCTCCTGCCAGTCTTGGTTCTGCCTATCCCTGTATGTGCCTATTCTGCATCAGCTTCTCTAATGACCTATCATAATCTCTGAAAAAGTCTTAATTGATAAGACACTGTCCTTCGCTTAGGTCATTTGTATCTTAAAGTTAGCTCTTGAAAGTCAATAAATCGTAAGGCCCAAAGGAATGATTCTCTAATAGTGAAATCTGGAGTATTCCAACATCCAGTATGGGTAAAGAGTTGGTGACAGAGGGCCATGTTTGGGACCTTTCAAATCATCACATGCCTTCTTTGTAAGGTCAACTCTGTTTGTGAGCTAAGAAAAAGAAGATTTACTTCAGATGCCTAGGCAAGGATATACCATTAGAAGACTCAGTCGTCAAAGCAGTTGTTGTATTTGAATTGGGCTCCATTCTTAGGAAAGATGAAACCACTACTCTCTCAGTTGCTAAGACAAATTATTGGGGCAAAGGATTTGAAAGAGAGTTGCCAGGCTATTCCTGTATTGACTTCATCATCCACTTTAGCCTTTTAAGAGCTTAGAGAATTTAATGGATTTGAAGGGCTAGTGCATGGAAGAGGAATTAGATTTGTCATGCTTGATCTTGCAGGCCAGAACCAGAAGCAATGGGTAGATATTTCAAAGGGACAGATTCAGTCCCCATGTTTCCTAACAATTATAGCCATCTGGAAATGGAATGCCCCAAGGTAGTAAGTTCCTTTTCAATAGAGGTCTTTAAGCAGATGCTGTTTGACAACTTGTTGGAGATAGTGTGTGTGTGTGTGTGCATGTGCATGTGCACACATGGCCTCTGATGTCCCAACTATGAGATTCTGTGGTTGCTTCTGTGATAATGCTGCCTGGAAAACAGACTGGGAATGAATCCTTTGTCTCACCTCTCTACTAAACTACTCTTTCTCCAGGAAACATTTAATACAAAAGGATAGATTCCATTTTAGCCATGCAGAGCTTATGTTTACCTCTTGGGAAGGAATGGAAACTGGTGATAAGAATAGTAGTAGTATTAGCTAGCATTTATATAGTGCTTTCCAAATATTGTTCCCTTTCCTCCTCATTGCAACTCTGGGAGGTGGGTGGCATTATTCTCCCCATCTCCCATTTTACAGATGAGGAAACTGAAACAGGCAGAAGTAAAATGACTTGCCCAGGTTCATACAGCTAGTAAGTGTCTGAGGCTAGATTTGAAATCAGTCTTCCTGACTCCAGTTCCAGTGCTCTATCCCCTAGCTTCCTTGGTTTATGTGTATATATGCCTAGGGGGAAATGGTACCTATGAAACTTCTTGTAGGTGGATAACATTAAAGTAAATACTCAGAGTAATAATAACTAGCATTTATAAAGTGCTTTACAGTTTACAGAGTGCTCTAAATACACATGAACCTCCTAACAACCTAAGAGAGAGGCACCAGAAGTACCATCATGATGCCCGCTACAGTCTGGCATAGTGGATAAATGGTTATGCTCTGTCCATAGTAGGATTTGGAGATGGAAGAGAAATTGAACATCCCACTGAAGGCAAACTGGCACTAGTGGCTGGCCCCTGCTGAGGGGGCCACAGCAGCAGCAGTGCCCCACCCTCTTATCCATCCAAAAGGGCAGAAATTGGGCAGAGTATTACTTTCAATTCTTGTTACCACATTTTATGGAAAGACAAATAAAACCAAACCAAAGCAAATGAAAAACACTGACAGAGTGGAACATATTTCCAGGCAAAGGACAGCCAGGATGGTGGCAGAATTCAAAGCAATAGTATACAGAAATCAGTCAAAGAAACTAGAAATGGTTAACCCAAAAAATGGGGCAGCTAGGTGGCACAGTGGATACAGTGCCAGGACTGGAGTCAGGAAGAGTTCTCTTTCCGAGTTCAAACATAGCCAGTAGGCTGTGTGACCCTGGGCAAGTTACTTAACCCTGTTTGCCTCAGTTTCCTCATCTTCAAAATGAGCTGAAAATGGCAAACCACTTCAGTATCTTTGTCAAGAAAACCCCAATGGGGTCACAAAGAGTCTGACATGACTGGAAAGCAACTGAATTGAACCCAAAGAGCAAGAGATGGGAGCAAGAGGGGAGACAGAAATGAATATGAAAGAAGTCTTCAGCACTCAAAGAGTTGCCTTGGGGAGGGGGGATCAAACTTATTCTCTGTCTGGTCCTAGGAGACAGGACTAGGAACAGTGGGTGGAAGTAGCAGGGATGAAGATTCCAGAACAAATTAAAGAAGAAAAAATAACTTGCTGACCCTTGAGTTCTCCTCAAGTGAGATGGGCAGTTTCAGAAAAAAAAAAGTGACTTTCTGTCCTGGTTCCTTGTCCTAGAAGACCTTCAAGAGGAGGCTAGAAAATAATTTTTTGAGACTGTTGTAGGAATTGGAATAGATGCCTTCTGAGGTCCTTTCCGTAGCTGGCTGGGAGTTTTTGATTTTTTAAGCTAATAGGTTCACTACCACTTTGGTTTCAAACTGATAGCCTGAAAGATTTAGAAGCTACTGAACATCGCATCGCATAGCATTGCATTGTATTCCTTTGTCCCCTGATTCACATAGTATACTTTTAGTTGGAAATCTTTTCTTTCATTTTTATTTTTCAGGTTTGCAAATCCCACCATCCCAAGTCACCAGAGGATCGTTCTCTTGCTGGCTGGTTTCCCTGTATCACTAGTGAAGGACAGAGAAAGCAGCCTGAGATAGACCTAGAGAGGGATGAAAAGGTCTGGCTCAAGGTAAGTGACTTGCATGTCTTTTGTTTAGGCTGTTGGTATGCATACATACCTATGCATGTCTCTGTTTTTCTCTGGAATGGTCCAGAGCCAGGAATTTCCTTCCTTTTCTTGACCTCTGTTTGGGTTCTTAACTCATCTTTATCTCTCCTGATTTATTGGATGGGTGATCTGGAATTCCTTTCATGTAAAGCTCTTGAACTCAGTAGGCCTCTAACCCTTGTTCTCTGTGTTATTAATTATCTGAGTAGCATATCCAACAGACTTAAGTACCTTTATCAATAAATCAGAAAAAAAAGTTTAGAATCAGTAAAAACATCAGAATCTTGGGTCTGGTGGTCCCAGAAACCTGGTCACAAAGGGTAAGTCATTTCAATCACCAAACTGCTAAGGGGATGCAGACAGTAGAGAAACACTGGTTAATGGAAATGAATATAGGGGGTCCTATGTAGGGGGAAATGGTCACTATGAAACTTCTGGTTGGCAGAAAACATTTCAGAACACACCCATAATAATACTTAATACTTAGGAGGAAATAATGAAACGTAAAATTCAAAATGTAGACAATTGACATCCCTACAGGATTTCAATGAAATGTTCTCCCAAGTGTTTTTAAATATGGTTTAATGTGATAAAATGGGTTTGGGCAGTTGTAGAAGTACTGATGTTTCTTCTTAGAGTGAGATGTCCGTCTAATCTAAAAACAATTAATTTTGTAAATCCCCCTGACTATGTGCCTGCTAAGTGAGAGTCAGTATTTTAGGCATATACAGAAATAAATAAGATGTGACTCCTGTCCTCAAAGAGCTTGCAGTCTGTGAGGGGCGACGTGAGATATAGACAAGTGACTATAACATAAAATAGAATATTTTAAGTGCTTAGAAGAGATACGAGTAAAGTATTTTGAAAGCTCAGGATAGGCAAAGATCATATCTGATCAGAGGGAATTTGGCTTCATAGATGAAGTAGTATTCCTTCAAGACTCAGCTCAGTGAAGGCCTTTTCCTCCCTCTTCCACTCCAGCAGATGATCATGGCTTCCCCTCTTAAATCACCTTCTCTTCTGTGGTCACCTTGTATATATACCTTAGTGTTTACCTGCGAGCATCTTGAGGTCAGGGACTATTTTTGCCTTTCTTTGCATTCCTACTAGGGACCCTCTGGGGGGCCATGATGGAGAATTCCAAAGAGGTCCAAAAGCAATGTGGCTGATGGGAAATGGGGAGAAAATTTATTCTGAGCTCTCTCTTTAAATAGTGGTCCTGCAGGTCCAAGCCCTCCAATCAAAGGGTCCAATCAGAAGGGCAGAGAGTACCGATGGGATGTGAGTACCAGGCAGATTCAGTCTTGCAATGTAATGGGATTTTCAAATGATGAATTTCCTGGGGAAGGAAGGCATCTTTATTTTACAGATAGGGAAGCTCAGGCTGAGAGAGATGAAGTGACTTACCCAAGGTGTCATAAGCTAGCAAATATCTGAGGCAAGAGTCAAACTTAGGTCTTTCTAAGTCCAGCATTCTATCCCTTGCACCATGTAGCTGCCTTCATATCTTTCATGTCCTCCCTGAGTCTTCTCATCTCTGGGCTGAATGTCACTAAGTCTTTCACTATCTTCTCATATGACTTTGTTTCATGCCCTCTCACTATCTCTGTTACTCTTTTTAGATGCATTCCAACTTATTAGTGATTTATTGTTGTTGTTGTTCAGGTGTGTCCAACTCTTTGTAACCCCAACTGGAGTTTTCTTGGCAAAGATACCAGAATGGTATGCCATTTCCTTCTCCAGTTCCTTTTTACAGATAAGAAAGGTAAGGCAAACAGGGTTAAGTGACTTGCTTAGGATCACCCAGCTAGTAAGTGTTTGAAGCCAGATTTGAACTCAGGAAGATGTCTTCCTGACTCTAGGCCCATCATTCTATCCGCTGTGCCACCCTTACATAAATACTGTGAATGGATATTGAGGCAGTAGATGGTAGAGTAAAAGCCATACTGCTCTCAGTATGCTAATATTCTAGGCCAAGCAGACACAAAGGAAGTAGCTAGAGAAGTAGACAATAAATGCTTGTTGATTGGAATACCAAGCGACATATCCACATATACAAAATAACATGGTCGTGTTTATTTTCGTGGCAGCTCTAGAAGAATCTCAAATTTGGAATGGTTTCACTCAAACTGGAATGGATAGCAACCCCAAGAGAAACAACCACACACATGTGGTATTTTAAATATCACGTGCTACCACATCAGTGATACATTATGGACAGATGATTGCTTGGAGATTTGTACTGCACAAAGTCTCAAACTAATTATAGTCTCCTAAATAATGTTTCTTCTCATTCTTGCAGCTAGCCAAGTTCTCTGCATGAACTTCCAGCACATAGATGTTCAATAACGTTTTAATTGATTGTGCTTTGAAAGATGGGAATCCCTGATGCCTAAAGTATTTAATAATCTTTCCTTCCCTTTATCCATGATAGCATTGGTTTCTGCCCCTTGAAAACACTTGGATAATCATTTCTTCTTTTTCTAAAAGATAGGTAACTGTTGGTCTTTTTCACATGTTTCTCTATATCATCTAACCTTTGGAGTGGTGCAGGAATCAGGTGTGTACAATGAGCTGATAAGCAAAGTAGATTAGTATAGAGAAAATTGCACAGGAAATTTGAGTTTGGTCCTGGCTTTGCCTTGAGTAGTGTGACCTTGGTCAAAGTACTTAACCTCTTTGAAACTGTTTGCCTATCTATAAATAAATAAGGACTAGTTAATTTCTAAGATTCCTTCCAGCCCTAACATTCCATAATTGAATGAAAAAGGCATTTATTAAGTTCTTAAACTACTGGAGGTACAAATACAGAAATAAAGATAGTCCTTGCCCTTGAGAATCTTACACTCTGATGAGGGGAAAACATATATAAAGAAATAGTGGTCAGGGACAGATACTTTGGTACAGAAAAAAATAGGAACAGGAAGTAGGACCATAGGGGAATAGATTGACACATCCTGTCCAGAAACAGTGGCAGAGTTGATTCGATCATGTTTCATGGTTCTAGAACTGGATTGGAAAGGCTGGGGAATGAGGAAGTTAAGGAGATGGCTAGAGAGGAGGAAGTGAGGTGAAACATGGCCAAAGTTTTCCTGACAGCATTCTGGGAAGTTCAGTGACCAATCATAGAGGTCCTTAGTCATAAGTGGGCAGGATCATGAAATGTTCAAACTTAGCACAGAATAGTGAGGGAGAGGTAGCCACTGCACCAGTGCTAATTCTGGGAACCCTGTGTCAATAGAGATGTTAATGAACCACTACATACTCAGGGAAAAAATAGAGAGAAGAGAATGATGGTGGTTGGAAACTTGGAAATATCAATTTTCAGTGGCATAGTGAGGAGAGCTTTATCCTAGTGCAAGTAAGAGATGAAGGGCTTTTCAGAAGGAGTAAGCCAGTGTGGTCATTGCAATCTTGGAAAATACTGGGACCTATTTCTTTCACAGACTCTGTAGGGCTCACTTGGTTCAACAGTATGCCAAGAGGATATATGATGAATTTTGTTTTTCCCTGGAGAAAGTAGATTCTGGGGTGGTGTTTTTCTAACCTGTTAGGAACCAGGGAAGCTAGCAGTATAGAAGCCAGGGGCAGTTCATTTAATTAGGGTGATGGCAGTTCCAAAGAAGGGTCCCTAGACTCAATTGTGCTGGTATCTGGAGCTTTTAACCTAGTGTTAGAGTCTCTTTTTTGAGACTTAAAGGCACTTTATAGAAGAAATACATCCGTCAATGCTGAAAACATTAGGCCATATCAATGGATGCATTTAAGGGAAGGGTTTCTAACCGTGGGAACTTGGAACAATAATGGAAGAGTGAAGGGTAGAGTCCACCCCTCAAACAATTGATACCTGCAAAACTATGGCAGCTCATTTCTCAACTCCCACACACTTGAAGTTGAGAGTGGCCTCTCCAAAATCAGACAGGAAAGAGCAGAGGAAGGAAAGGGTGGGACCAAACCATTGGACATTGCCAAGGGACCTCAGCCATGATTGGTTTTCAGGCCATGGCAGAAGGAAGGATTGTCTGTTGGTTTTGTGAAAGGTTGCCCCTTGAACTTGGCACATGGTTGCAACCAGTTCCGGTAGGTACCCCAGGGTTTATGTTTATTCCACGCTTCAGAGGACTTCCAGGGTCAGGGCAGCTCAGGCATTTCATAGGAAAGGGAGGAGTCCTGCTCAAACAGGTCTGGTTGTTTTTTCTTCCTCTCAAGTCACAGGTAGGGAGGGTTCAATCAGTTTAGAAACTGAAAGCGAGTAGGTTGGAAGATTCCACACATTCAAGACTCCAGATGGAAAGGATTCCAGAAAAAGGGGCAGGACAAGAGGACTGGGGTACCAGGTGGGACAAGGATCCATACAATTTGCTGACTAGAGAAACAGCCCTTAAACCCTGCCGTCAAAATATAGGTTTTTTTTAGACTAGGTCTTTTCCCTCTCAAAGGTAGAAGGAAGATATGCCTGATATAGAGACCTTGGCCTCTGTTAAATTTAAGAAAAGTCGTCCTGGGATATGTCAGAGTTCTGTCTATCTTTTCTGTACCTGAAAGTGGCACCAAGGGATTTCCCAATGTGGCTCAGTAGATAGTATTGGAGTTGGGGCTAGGAAGACACAAATTCCAATCCTGCCTCATACACATATTGAGCAAATTATTTAAACCTTCATCAGCCTCAGTTTTCTAATCTGTAAAATGGGAATATTATCACTTATCTCACAAAGTTCTTGAGAGGATCAAGTCAAATAACACATGTAAAATACTTTACAAACTTGTAAATGTTAGCTATTTTCATTATTGTTATAATTATCATCAGACTCCTGGCATCAGATATGCAATCCAAACCCTTCTTGGACCTACTGATATATCAGCCCTTACTACTTTATAATCTTTGATTTGGAAGGAATTCTAAAGGTGATGTAATTCATGCCCCTGTACAGATATGGTCATCAGAATGGAGAATTATATCT